CTTTGTATTTTTTAAATATATGAACCTCTTGACATGAATTAAGCAGAGACAATTACAATGACAGCTTTCCACTGAAAGCAAGTTTAGCTTTGAGCTGCTTGTAATAATTGGGAAGACATGTTATTTCAGAATGTTGGCTAACCTGCTTCATGTTTTTAGTGCCAAAGAAGCTGGATTATAGTAAATTAGGGCTGTGAAATCCCGGTGAGAGAATCTGTTGGCCTGACAGCAGGTTGTTTGTTTTTCAGGTTTGTTCTGGAACAGTACAATGCACTCTCCTGGCTAACCTGTGATCCTGCAACCCAGGACAGACGGTCATGTCTCCCAATTCATTTTGTGGTGCTGAATCAGTTGTATAACTTTATCATGAATATGCTGTGATCTTCATCTGAATTTTGCAAGACAAAAATGAGGAAAAGGGATATTTCACTGCAGGACTAAGTTATAATTCTTCTCAGTGCAACTTGTTTGTGATGGGGTATGAATCTTGTTACTTCCAGCAAATATTGTTTTGACTTGTGAGAGGGGCAGCCACCGCCCTGCTGTCTGTGAGTCACTGACTATGGGGGACGCTTCAGAATGATGATCAGAAAGTGTATTATAACATTTTTAGTAGCAAAATTAACCATTTTTCCCCGGCCACAGTATTTGTGAAGAGTAATGAGCCATAGTACCCAGTCATGGTTAATGAATTTTAAAAGCATGGAGATGAGAAGAAATGTGAGGAACAATTAAGTTTCAACCTATGGCTTCAGAACATCAAGATGTTCTTTTATTGGATAATAGTACTTAGTATTCAAAAATGCCTGCATCTCTTATTTATTGTAAGTTTTTAAATGTATAAATTGTCTTATATTTCTTAACCTCTTTTATAAAAATTTTCCTAGAAGGTTTATACTGCCTTCTTGCTTTAAAGCAATTGGTCTAAAATATATGTAATCGTCTTAATTAAAAGTTGCAGTAGGTTGCTTTTAGAGTATTATTTTTTTGTAAGGGGTGGGTGGGGACAGTAAATTTGTATTGTCTTGATGTACAGTTTAATGGGGATAGAGGGGTTAATGTCCATACCATTGTGTGTGGGGGATTTACAGCTAAGCTGTAGTTGCAGAGTACATGTACAGTAATGAAGTTCACTGTGTTTATATAAATTGAAAAGGTACCGGGTCTTACAGCATTTTATATCACACCTTTCCAGAGTAACAATGGCAATATATAAGTGATATTGTAGGTGGTTTAACTTGTAGTGAGAATAAAACGAATAAACTCTTCAACTGAAGTTTGTGTTATGGTTCAGGGCTGTGGCTAGATTCTCAGATCCGCTTCCAGGAACACGAGTTTTAATATTCCAAGAATATCTGTTGTGCATTGTTGTTCCCTGGATATTCTTGGCGCTGTGCTCGCTGCATTGGTTGCTTCCACATTTGCGATGAACTGCGAATCTGAGGCGGAACACACGGGAAGCTCTGCCCTGATCCAAAGTCTCCTGTAAAGGCTGAAATTTAGCCCAGCTCTAGCCATTGCACAAATGCAAAAATAGTCAATCTTGACTTTAAGATTGGTGTGTGTTTAACTAAAATGTGGTGTATATAGATTCTCAGTGAATTCTGGTATTCAGATTTTATTCCACTAGTAAAACAAACAGCACGAAACCCTGAACGTTTTCCTTTCCCATGTCCTTTTGGCACTGTGGGGAAGGTCCCAAGTATCAGTGTCTGGCCTTCCCCGGATCCCGTTTTCAGGCTCTGGCCGGGGCGTGTGCCAAGGAGGCTTTGCCCTCTCCGAGGAAGGGACTGACAAACCACAAGGCTTTCCTAAACGTCTCCCTCCAGCTACAGCCACCATTTTTTCTCAGTAGTTTCCTTCCTTTTTCCTAGCACATGCCAAATGTCTGATGCTGCTCTAAAATAGCCCCTACGGGTGCTGAAGAGCAGCTGCAGATGCTTTTTCTGGGTTCCTTATCTGACTGCCAGATGAAAAACTGAACTCCTGCAGCGCTCACGGGAGCCTGTCACGATAACCCGTGTCCTGGGTCTTAATACTGTCTGTCTCTGGTTTAAACCTGTAAAGGAGCAAGTTTTAAGATCCATTTGTGCACCTGCTGTTAATCCTCCACAAGGAAGAATTTTGCTTGCATTTACCAAACTTCCTGTGCTCATGAAAACTCTCGTTTCGTAAATGCAAAATCCCTGCCTGGGCTGCTTTTTCGTACCAACAGTCTCCCTGAATCGTGTACATACAATACGAGCGACTTTTTGGGTTTTGTATAGAGAAGTTGTACAATTGGTGACGAAAATTTTCGGTCGTTTCTTCAGGACAACACGAGTGCAATCAGAAGTTTAGCCTATTTTGATAAACAGAGTTCCAAACTGGGTCTGTCCATGACTTTATCTCGGTGACGCGCCGCAGATTAAACGGCACATTATTGTCTTACAGAAGGTTTTCTCTCATTTGGCTGAGATTTTTTGAAGTGGAAAAGTGCTCCTAAAACTGGAATTTTCCAAGTGTATGTCCTTTTTTTTTTTTTCTTTCGAGCTTCGTTGCTAAGTGGTCATTTTTAACCCTGGCTCAGTTAACCAAGTTCCAGGGGCTGGGTTTTGGTGTGGCTTTGTTTGTGTTAAAGCTGACTTGTGTTCCTAAAGGTAAGTGAATCAGCTTCCTGAACGTTGGTGTAACTGTATTCTGTCACCTGGACCAGCCTTCCCTGTGAAACTCTCCTACTGTGAAAGCTGCCAGTTTCCCACTCCCCACCTCAAATGCAATTAAAGTAAATGATAATATTATAACCACTATGAAAGATTAGAAGGGCCATTTCTGGAGTGATAGTCCCAGCCGGCACTGTACATATCAAACCTGCCAGCACCGTGGAGCCAACTACTATACTGGGCATATTTTGTTGTTAGCTACTTTCATTTAACTATTTTAAGTGCACATAATAGCTGGTGTATAAATAAAATTGTCACAATCCAGTAACTCGGGTTGTTTAGCAAGTACAAGCTTAAACAGTTGAAAATTTCAGCTACAGCTTTTCAAAGTGGTCTTGCATGAAAATGTTCCTGGCAGTGCTTTTAAGTAGCTGTGGAGGTTTATCTCCTCCAGTGAAAAAAGAAGCTGAGGTCCTTCCATTCCAATTAAAAAGATGTATTTTTACCCAGATATGACTGTATTTAAGCCTTTTAGTCACCTTTGACTCACTACTATTTGAATCAGGTTTCTGAAGACCCTGTTGCTCGACCAGCAAGGCCACCAGCTGTACTTGTAACAACTCTTTTAAAGTAGCTGTAACATTTAGATCTTTCTAACATTCTCTGAAATAATTAAACATGAATGGATTTATAATTAAATCCTCAGCTATGTTCTTACCTAGCTGTCAGTTATTGTATTTCTATATTTACCTCTGATGGTAATTTTAACTTCGTGTGTTGCTATGAAGACTTGCCGATGTCTTTAATCAAGCACTATTTGTTAATACTGTAATATCAAAATATTACGTCGCATTATTTTAAAGCTTTCAAAAATAAGAGTAAAACCTTTAAAAAAAAAAAGCTATTGCACCATATAATTTGCTGCACAACAGTATGGCACCGCATATCAGCCTGTTTGGGTAGCAATGCTGCATAAACCTTGTTTTGAGCTGGGTTTCTTTGGAGAATTCATTCATTAAGGTGACATTGTACAGCGTTACTGTCTCGCAACCTCCAGCTGGGAAGGTGGTTTTCTTTTATTATGGTTTTTGTTGGTTTGTTTGTTGGTTTGTTTTTGTTTTTTTTTTTTTAAGCAAAGGACCCAGGACTATGCTTCGTACTTAAAGGGGTTTTTTTATTATTATTTGTGGGTGTACTTTTTATTTTCAGTGGAGTAAAGCTTAATTTACAGTAAAACTGGATTTGGGACCTACCACAATCCTCAGGGTCACTTTTTCAGGACGTTACTCATCGAGCTTTAGGTTTTTCCGAGTCAACTGGACGTGAGGACCTCGCCGAGCGCCGGGTTGGGAGGACGCAGCCTGTGGCCTCGTGACTGGACATGTCGCCCCTCCGGCACGGCTGGACACACCGGGGAGCTGCTCCAACGCCCCATGGCACGGCTGGACACACCGGGGAGCCGCTCTGGCACGGCTGGATGCACTGGGGAGCCCTTCCAACACCGCTCTGGCACGGCTGGACACACCGAGGAGCTGCCCTGACACCCCTCCAGCACAGCTGGACAGGTCCAGGAGCTGCTCCAACACAGCTGGACAGGTCCAGGAGCTGCTCCAACACAGCTGGACAGGTCCAGGAGCTGCTCCAACACGGCTGGACAGGTCCAGGAGCTGCTCCAATGCCTCTGGCACAGCTGGATGTGCCGGGAGCCGCCCTGGCACGGCTGGACATGCCAGGGAGCCTCGCACAGCCCTGTGCCCTGGGCCGAGCCGCCGCCGTCGTGCTCATCGTTACAAACACAGAAATAAAAAGCGATTTAAAGGAACAAACACTATTGCTGCCGAATGCCACAAACACTGAGTTGTACAAAATTGTGATCGAGGAAATGAAACGTTAAAAAAAAAAAAGTTTATACTTTTTAAAAAAAACCCAAAAACCAAAAAAAAACAAAAATAATTTCAAATGGAATAAATTATTCATGAAGCCTTGATTGTGGTGTGGGTTTATTGCGGGGGCAGCGCACCCTCAGCCTTGCTCCTCTTCAGCCTTCCTGCCCTCAGCCCTCCTGTCCCTCAGCCTTTACTTCCCTCAGCCTTTACCTCCCTCAGCCTTCTCCCCCCTCAGTTCTTCCTGCCCCTGAGCCTTCTCCCCCCTCAGCCTTCCCAGCCTTCCTCCCTCAGCCTTTCCTGCCCCTCAGCCTTCCTTCTCTCTCAGCCCTTCCCTCCTGCAGCCCTTCCCACCCCTCAGCCTTCCTCTCCTCAGCCCTCCCACCTCTCAGCCCTTCCTGCCCTTCATCCTTCACCCTCCTCAGCCTCCCTCCTCCCTCAGCCCTTCCCTCCCCTCAGCCCTCCCGCCGTGGCGTCACTTCCCTCTTCCCCCGGTAGTGCGGGCGGTGGCGGCGGGCGGGCGCGGGAGCCGTGAGGGAGCTGCGGCCGCCGCCATGTCCGACTGCTCGGCGCTGCAGTTCGTGAGCCCCTACGCCTTCGAGGCCATGCAGAAGGTGGACGTGGTTCGCTTGGCCGCGCTGAGCGACCCCGAGCTGCGGCTGCTGCTGCCCTGCCTGGTGCGGATGGCGCTGTGCGCGCCCGCCGACCAGAGCCAGAGCTGGGCGCAGGACAAGAAGCTGATCCTGCGGCTGCTCTCGGGGGTCGAGGCGGTGAACTCCATCGTGGCGCTGCTGTCCGTGGACTTCCACGCGCTGGAGCAGGACGCCAGCAAGGAGCAGCAGCTCCGGTAACGCGGAGATCTGGAGGCAGCGCTGTGCGGCTTTTCCAGCCCTCACAGTTGTTGCTGCCCTTCGTGTCCCTTGATGGTCTCTTAGGAAAGCCCCGGGGGTTGACAGGGAGCGGGGTTTAGTTGTCTGTCCTGGGACCTTCTCTGCCGGCTCCAGCCCTCACGGTGGGTGAGGGTCTGGGATGCGCTGGGAGCTGCCCCGGCTGGGGAGGATCTGGGAAGGCTGTGAGGGGTTGAACAGACAGGTCATGTGGATGCACTTCCCTGACTGTTCGTGCTGCCGGGGAACAGCAGCACTTCAAATTTTGATAAGCTACCCAATTAGGTTTCATGTACTGCACTTATAACAGAATTATGTCCTTCCTTTAAGTGAGGACATTTCTACGTTTGCAGAAACATTTCATAGTTGTTAATTGTGTGCCAGGCACAAGCTGGGAGGTGGCAGTGGAGAAAGCATCCTGGTGTCCCAGCTGCAGCACGGGCTGACGCTGGAATTCGAGCACAGCGATTCCCCTCGGCGGCTCCGGCTGGTGCTGAGCGAGCTCCTGGCCATTATGAATAAGGTAAACTTGTCCATGTCTGGATGTCTGTAGAGTTTAGGGTGGTGAAAATGCGCTCTGGATAGGTTGGTGAGATGTTTGGTTGTTTCTGGTGCTGGTGTGAGCACTCTTCAGTCCTTACCTGCTTCATCAAGACTCAAAGCCTCAGTCTTATTAAACAGTGGCTTGTGATTAAATTCCTTGCTAACCCACTTTCCTAGAGGAAGTCTTTCTTCCTCAGAACAAGCCAAGTCTTTGCTAATGTGATACAGACTCTGTAATATGCTGTACTCAAATATAATGTGATTTGGTGATGTATCAGTGCAGAAATCGTATTTGAAAATGAAATTATGACTTGTCTCCATCCAGTTCTTTGCCTCCATTGCAGTGTGGCATTAGCCACCATATTTCACTTGTCCACCCCAGCATTTTATTTTCCTTGTGTAAACTTAGGAAGTTTTTAGAACTGTCAGTGAGCTATTTCTCCTTCTTCTGTGAAGAAGCAGTGATACCATCCATACTGAAGTATTTCCAGTAGTAAATATTTCTTACTGTAGACACTTCTCCTGCTTGTTCTGTGTTGATAACTGTACATTTTTGACAGTTTTTAATCTATTAAATCTGCTGGATTTAAAGCAGATTTAGACAAATCACTTCATAGAACCCATTCAGTGATGATAAATATATTGTCTTGCAGGTTTCAGAATCAAATGGCGAGTTTTTTCTCAAATCTTCCGAGCTCTTCGAGAGTCCCGTTTACCTGGAGGAGGCAGCAGATGTTCTCTGCATTTTGCAAGCAGGTTGATATTCTGTATTTACTGTGTTTTTTGACCTCTTACAAGTGTAACAAAATAACTTTTGGAGCCATTGTGAGGATTTCAGGTTAATCTGAGCTGTGCAGCTCTTTGAAAGAGTGGCAGATCACAGGTTGATTATCCACTCCTTATTTCGGGCGGGTTATTTAAATGTGTATTGAAAACAAGGTTTCACTTGTCTTACAGCGAAACATTGTGCCTTCTAACACCCTCTTTTCATGCAGAGCTGCCCTCCCTGTTGCCCATAGTGGATGTGGCTGAAGCTCTGCTGCACGTTAAAAACGGGGCCTGGTTCCTGTGCCTTCTGGTGGCCAATGTCCCTGACAGCTTCAACGAGGGTGAGTCACAGCTTCTTCTTGTCCAGCTCCTGCTACAGGTCTGAAATGATTTCTAGCAGTACAGTTAATTCTCTAAACCACATGTTGTCCGTGTTTGAACTGGAGAGCGTTTGGCTTGTGAAGTATAATTTGAATGCATTTACACCCAGAGGTGTTGAGGGGTTGCCCTGGCATTATGTTGATTCCCATTTTTTGCAGCCTGCTTGTCACAGCTTTTCACCTGTAGGTTAGTTAAAAAGGCTGGCTCAGGCTGGGACTACAAAGCTGCTCTAGCCTTGCTGACAGTTCTTGTCCCTTGCACTGAGACATTTTATGAGGTGAAAATTTGTATTGATGGTGCATGTTTGGCATCCCTTACTTGGCAGTAAGATTTCAGACTCCAGGACTGCCAGGTGCCCAGGTTACATTAGTTAAGATGTGAGTAGTAACTGGGTGATGCATAAATCTCTAATGACCCTGTAATTTATCTGGGGAGAACCACCTTGTTCTGCTTCTAGAATGCAGCTCATGAGTTCTTGCCCAAACCAGGTTTGTGTGGCCCAGCTAATAAATCATGGTGAGCTGAACAGAACAGCTTGGCTTGGTGTGTTTGTGTTTATCACAGGATGGTTTGGGTTGGAAGGGAACTGAAAGATATTTAGTTCCAACACTGACACCTTCCACTATCCCAGGTTGTTCCAAGTCCCGTCTAACCTGGCCTTGGACACTTCCAGGGCTGGGGCAGCCACGGCTTCTCTGGGCAGCCTGTGCCAGTGTGTGGCTTTCTGTTGGAAAGGGCAGGTTTCCTGACAGCTCCTGTTGGATATTTAAGTCTGCAGAGGTTTGATTAAGAACGGGGAGCGGCAGGATGAGGAGAGTGTTGGAGGCCGGCGGAGAACAGAAGCCCTTCGCCATCTGTGCAAGATGAACCCTTCCCAAGCTCTGAGGGTCCGGGGCATGGTGGTGAGTCTGGCATGAGAACCATAACTATGACCCCTGAATTAAAAATAAGAGCTTTATAACCAACAAAGATCATTTTATCTAGGTGGAAGAGTGCCACCTGCCAGGTCTTGGCGTGGCTTTGACCTTGGATCACACCAAAAATGAATCTTCAGATGATGGAGTGAGTGACCTGGTGTGCTTTGTCAGTGGGCTGCTGCTTGGAACAAATGCAAAGGTTCGAACTTGGTTTGGGACTTTTATCCGAAATGGCCAACAGGTATGAAAATCTTTGGATATTCTGCTTTAACAGATACATTCAGGTAGCTTGCTGAAACCCTTCTGGCTGTGGGCACCCGTATTTGTCTGAATGCTCATAAATCCTGTTTAAGGAGGAACCTTTACAGGGCAACCTCCTCTTATGGGACCATCAGGTATATAAATGGTGTCCCTGAAGGCAGCAGCTGTTTGGTTGTTCCTCTGAGAGGCTTTTAGGCCTGGAAACCGGGGAACTGTGTGTTTGTAATGTTTGCCTGATAAACATGTTCATCCTCACTGTTCACAGCAGGAAGGTGCACCTTGACTTGCTTAGTTGACTTAGTCAAAGCTTGTGTTTTGGTGTAGGAAGCTGTTGTGGTATGATCACGTGTTGCCTGTCACCCTGGTACTGAAAACTGTAAAAAAAATAATTAAAAGAGAGCAACCTTGACTTCATCACTACGGGAGCTCTTTGTAATACATCGACGGGATGAATTCGGTGTTGTTTGGGATGGATTTCACGTGCTCGTTCTCATCTTTTAACCTCTCACACAGAGAAAGAGAGACAATATCAGTTCTGTGCTGTGGCAGATGAGGAGGCAGCTGCTCCTGGAGCTCATGGGGATCCTGCCCACGGTCCGCAGCACCCACATCGTGGAGGAGGCCGACGCCGACACGGAGCCCAACGTGTCCGTGTACTCGGGGCTGAAGGAGGAGCACGTGGTGAAGGCCAGCGCCTTGTTACGCCTCTACTGCGCCCTCATGGGCATTGCTGGGCTCAAGTAATGACCCTTCTCTTGCTCTGGGGTTTGCTCAGCTCTGTCTGTCACGTCTGTTCCTATCTCAGCAGAGGTTCAGGGCTGTGGGCACTTCTCTCCTGAGCTGTGTCTCAATGCCATTGACACGGCAGCACTCACCAATCTCAGTGCCAGGGGAGGCTTTTTATTGCTGCCCATTCACTTCTGCAGACTACTTAAAATAAGTCTAAGCCCACATGGTTGGAGCAGTGTGGAGAAGAGAAAGTAGCTGATTGTTCTGTCATTGTACGAATTTTGAATTTCTATTCCTTTTACTTTTTCAGAGCGTGCTAATGTAGCATCTTTACACATTGCTAGTTTTAATTTAAGTATTTTGTACTGCTAGGCAAGATGATATCCTGGGGGAGTTTTCCCACTGTTGTTGTGTCTTAACAGAGATTTTTATGTCTTAAAGTCCAGCGAGAATTACCAGCTAATGTCGATACTCATTGATAGCAACCTGATGAACAGATTCAATAACAGGGAAAATTCAGTCTTTAACCACTGTGATGAGACTGGAAATATCTTCACTGTTGAATTGAATCACAAATTGAATTTGTTTTGTTTTCTGTCCAGGCCAACTGATGAAGAAGCTGAGCAGCTCCTGCAGCTCATGACCAGCCGCCCTCCTGCAACTCCTGCTGGTGTCCGCTTTGTGTCCCTGTCCTTCTGCATGCTCCTGGCCTTCTCCACCCTGGTCAGGTACCTCCCAGTAAAGCAGGAGCTTTGTAAGGGTTTTACTGGTTTAGCACCATTCAGCTGCACAGTTTTTCTCCTCTAATTTTATATAAATTTTTATATAGTTTTTATATAAGTCTCCGTATGTTGATGGAAGGGATTTGTCTCACTCTGTAGTGAGTAAAGGGATATTTCACTCTGTTCTCCCTCTTGTTTATAGCAAATCTTTTGAGAGAAGGGCATTAGCTTAGTTTAAGATTTAGTTTTTGAAGACTGAAGCAGGCCTGACTAGTTCACTTTTCCGTGGAGCAAGTTGATAGCTAAATTCTTTAAAGACCCTGTTCAAAAGAGAAGCAGTGCAGATATTTAAGGGGTGTAGCTCTCTGCTGGCTGCATTCCAGCCAGGAAGTTCCCTGACTTGGACTGACCTTTGTGCTAAATGTCACTGTTATCAGCTGTTGGATGCTGAAGAGAAAGTGGCAAAAAGTCTCCTGGAAGGCTCCTCAAATACTGGCTTTTCTGGTAGTAATTGTGATTCAAATGCAGGCTGGATTTTTTTTTCTTTTTTTTTTGGAAAATGACCTTTTATGGATTTCCTTTGTGCAGCACCCCAGAACAGGAGCAACTCATGGTGATGTGGCTTAGCTGGATGATAAAGGAAGAAGCCTACTTTGAGAGGTGAGAGCAGGCTTGTTTTGTTTTAATGGTTGCAGTCATCTCACATTTACTTGTGTCCTGTTGGAAACTAACTCTTCCCCTTTGTTATCCTCAGCATTTCTGGTGTGTCTGCTTCCTTTGGAGAGATGCTTCTCCTGGTGGCCATGTACTTCCACAGTAACCAGCTCAGTGCCATCATTGACTTGGTCTGCTCCACCTTGGGAATGAAGGTTAAAATCAACTTTTTACCCTGTTTTTATGCTTTTGTTTTTCCTTTAGTTTTGATAGAAAGAACATTAGGTTGGCTGTTATACTTAAAGCAAAGATAACCTGAAAAAAATAGGTAATTATCCAGTAATTCCTCTGGAAGAACGTTAAGTTACTCCTGCCTCTGGATACAGAGGAATGCTGTGATAAAAGTATCTCCAAAAAGTGCTGACTTGTTCAAGTCATTATTTGCAAGGAATGAACTCTTTAGAAGATGAAGTAGTTTCCAAACTGAGCTGCAAACTTTTAATTTTAAGTGAAGAAATATATATGTATAATAATTAATGTCAGGAAATTACCAACAATTTACTCTCATGAAAAATGTCTCATCAAAGGTAAAAGCTGGGTAGGGAGTTTTTAGGATAGGGGAGACATGGAGTGATGAACTTGTGACATTTTTAAATATTTTTGTTTGACACTTGAAGTATAGATGTGAATGTTTTCCTGGTATCCCAGTTTTAAAAGGCTAAAAGTCACCAGTTTATAAAATAAATTTGCAGTCCTTGCTTATGAGAAAGCTAAAACTTGCACTTCTGAGTAGTTTGTTCCTTATTTCAGATTGTTATCAAGCCCAGCTCGCTCAGCAGAATGAAGACAATCTTCACACAGGAGATTTTCACTGAACAGGTATTTTCAGCCTAAGGGGTTTTTTCCCCCCCCACCTTCCCTTTTTTCCTTTCCATTCAACTTCCAAACCACCAAAACTAAGGAAATGCCAGGACAGGCTGTAGCTGTGTGACTGTCCCCTGGTGCACTGGGGGGAGGTGGATCTTTGGGGTGTTTCTGTGTTAATTGTCCCTTCCCTGCAGGTTGTCACAGCCCACGCAGTGCGAGTGCCCGTCACGGGCAGCCTCAGTGCCAACATCACTGGCTTCTTGCCCATCCACTGCATTTACCAGCTGCTCAAGAGTCGTTCCTTCACCAAGCACAAAGTGTCCATTAAGGTAGGACCTTCCTTTTGTTTCAGTTCAGAAGTCTGAGTGTTAACGAGGTTTTTTGGTTCAATCACAGGAGCAGAATTCTTGATCGATCTTATACCCCACTACCATGGAATTTAAGGAGGATCTGTGTATTGTGCTAGGGTGCTCAGCTGTAGCTCTGTAATCCAGAGACCACAACTGAGTGAAGTGAAAAATAATAAATTCATTGTCTCTCCCCCCCATCTGTGCTTAATAAAATTTTAGAATGATTTTCCAGCCAGGACAAGCTTTATTTGTGAGTCTGTCCAGAGCAGGGTCCAGGATACACAGCTTATGACCAACCCAGAACTGATAGTACACTTTCAAAGCCTCATTTAGTTATAGTTTTTGTGACTGGTTGAAGGGGGAGGTACTTGCAGGCAAAACAAACTGCCCTCCAGCTTGGCAGCCACTCATGCCATGGGATGTTCTCTCCTAGGACTGGATCTATCGGCAGCTCTGCGAAACCACCACCCCTCTGCACCCTCAGCTGCTCCCTCTCATCGATGTCTACATCAACTCCATCCTGACTCCTGCATCCAAATCCAACCCAGAGGCCACCAACCAGCCTGTCACAGAGCAGGAGATACTGAATGTTTTCCAGGGCCTCTCTGGGGTAAATGATTTGTTTGGTTCTTTGTTGTGCTTCGGTGTGAACGTGTGGTTCAGGATTTCGTGTGCGATCGACGCATTCTCTAAGTCCCTTCACTTTTGTCTTTGCTGCCTGTGAACTGCCTCCTGCCACAGGGATAATCACGTGTTTTGAGGTGAATCTTGTTAGTGCCATGTTCATATCTGTGGGTAAATCCCTGTTTTGTCAAGGATCAGCAGTGCAGCATGACCTTTGTGTGTGGTTTTCTGCCCAGGGGGAAAATGCCCGTCTCACTCAGCGCTACAGCATCACCACCCAACTGCTCGTCCTCTACTACGTCCTGTCCTACGAGGAAGCACTTCTGGCCAACACAAAGATTCTGGGTATGTGTGAGAGCATCAGGGGCAGGCAAATTAGCTGGAAATCAGATGCTAAGGGAGGAAAAATTATCAGTGCTCTCAGATTCAAGCATAAAAAATTTAGATTCTTGTGGTAAATACGTTGATTTAGAAATCCAGGAGATAAAGTTTCTGCTAAAACTCTGTGGTTGAGTAATTTGTTTTCCAGATGAAAACAAGGTCCAACCTGGCCAAATAGTTACTCGAAATAGTTGTGACCATCTAATGGAAACAGGAAAAATTAAAAAAGACTTCTTAGTTAATTGAGATCTTCATTTATTCACGTGTCATCAAACTTGCACACACATTTCTTTAGGTTTGCAGTTTTGTAGTTGATGATGCTGAATGATCCTTTTTTTTACCATTGAAACTGAAATTCTACCAGAATATTGTGTGGTTTATTGACAGAGTTAAACTCCAGTGAAAACTGAATATTTATATCTGGTGGGTGTATTTACAAGCCCTTTTTAGGGGGTAGAACTTCCATCTAGTCATCAGTTCATGCTATTTAAGAAAGCTTGAAATCCTATAAAGTCAATTAGAGTTCTCCCTGCATTTATAACTTCCACCTCATGACAGGCTGTTGTGTGTCCTGACAGTTTGAATTCCAGGTACCAACTGATAACCATTTTTTTAAGAATAAAAAACCTTGAATAAAAAAAGAGCAGATTTGAGCTATGATCTCAAAATCAGCTGGGCTTGGTCAAAGACACTATAGAAATACTGAGAACAAATCTAAATATCAGGGAAATCTTCAGATGGAAATGTTCACAGAAACAGTTTCCTGAAGAGCTTATTTTAATACTTTGACAGGAACGAGGTGTTATTTGGGATTTTCTCTATTTTACCTGGATAATGTAGAGATAAGTGCTTTACATTTTCACTTGTTTCCAGCTGTAACTGGTTTCTTGTCCTGTTCCCTTGCAGCTGCCATGCAGAAGAAACCCAAGTCTTACTCTTCAGCATTAATGGATCAGATTCCAATCAAGTACCTCATCAGGCAGGCACAGGGGCTGCAGCAGGAGCTGGGAGGTAAATCTGGGTGTGAAGGTCTGATGTGCACGAAAAGGGAGGCAGAAAGTGTTTCCAGCTCAGTGGCTGTTGCTTCTTTCATAGTTTGCCTTCCTTTCCCTTTCCTTTAAAACCTGCCAGTAACTAGAGAGATTACAGAGCTGTTGGAAGAGTTACAGTGAAAATGGGAGAAGGGATTCTTTTTAGAGTAGGTCTTACCTACCTAGGGCAGGTTTTAGAGTAGGAATTGCCCGAGAACGTTTAATTATTCCAGACTGAATTACTACGATGACTTTCCAAAAGGTAACTCTTCCTCTGTCAGCATTGGAATATCAGGCTGTGAATGTGCAAACTCCTTGAGCTTCTTGGCAGTGATTCTGTGGTTGAAGTGAAGGGCCCAGATGTGTTCAGGTGGAAGGTGCAGCTGCTCAGATCTAAGCTGTGAACTCTTTTGATGCCCCCCAAGGTTTGCACTCTGCTCTGCTGCGACTCCTCGCCACCAACTACCCCCACCTGTGCATCGTGGACGACTGGATCTGTGAGGAGCAGATCACAGGCACTGATGCCTTGCTGAGGAGGATGCTCCTCACCAACATGGCCAAGAACCACTCTCCCAAACAGCTCCAAGAAGGTGAATAACTTCATTTGAAGTTCATTCTCTCCAAATTCGTTGGAGCGTGGTGGATTTGGAAGCGCGTTGGTCATACTGCGTTCCTAAAACCCAAACGTTCTGCTGGCCAGCAGAAAAAATGTCAGAAGTCCAGTTTTACCAGGATCCCGTTGTCTTTGCTTTCCAGCCTTTTCCATGCTGCCTGGAAATCACACCCAGCTGATGCAGATCTTGGAACACCTGACCCTTCTCTCAGCTGGGGAGCTGATCCCGTACGCGGAGGTGCTGACGTCGAACATGAATCTCCTGCTGGACGCTGGGGTCCCTCGGGGCATCCTGCAGGCTGTCAACAAACTCTGGATGGTCCTGAACACTGTGATGCCCAGAAGGTGGGAACAAAACACTGCTTGGTTCCTTGTTGCAGATAGAATCATAGAATGGTTTGGAGTGGAAAGGACTTCAAAGATCATCCAGTTCCAACCCCTTTCTGTTTTAAAAATAATGACACAATGCCCTTACCTGGGAAATTGGAGGTTGTGACTGAGTGGAATGTGTTGGAGCTGCATTCCCTGTTGTTCTGTTGCAATTTTGAACCTTTGCATTTAAAAGGAAGGTGGTTCTTGTTCCCAGGCAGAAGGAAGTCACCAGTTGACTTAAAATACAGGAGTATGGTTTTACAGTGTGTATTGTTTATGATGAATTACTGATGAAACATGAACTTACTTTGGTAAAAACATGCCTTTCTTTGTGAAGTAGGTGCTGTATTGCAGTGAAAACAGTTTGGTTGCTGTAATTCCAGTAAATCAGCTGTGTCTTGGTTATCTGCAAGGGCTGCAAATGAACTGTGGGCTGTTTGCTCCTTAATATGCTTAGAAAAATAGAGCTGTGATCAGTGAATGTCCAGATACTTCAAGAATTCCTTTTCTTTTATGGACTATCTACTAAAAAACCCCATGAAAATATTCTCCTTTTAGGTTGTGGGTGATGACTGTTAATGCTCTGCAGCCCTCAGGAAAAATATTCCGACAGCAGAAATACACCCAGAATGATCTGATGATTGACCCCCTGATCGTCCTGAGGTGTGACCAGAGAGTCCACAGGTGAGTGTCTCCCTCCCTGAGCTTCTCATGTTCTGTGGTGCCACACAGCCAATGCTGAACATAAAGCTGTCTCCCAGGAAACTTAGAAGAGCTCTCAGTACTTCAGAACATCTCTTCAGACCAATCCCATGAGGTTCAGTGTGTCCTGCTGTCCACTGAGTGTCTTGTTGGACAGCCTCACACCCAGCTGTGGCTTGGGAACGTTGGGCTTTGGCCACAGGCCTCCATTTTGGCTGTGGCTGTGTGGGTCTGTGGCCCAGGGGCACTGCAGCAGGTTTGAAATGGCGGCTGCCACGTGCCGGTGGCCGAGGTGGGAGCTGGGACATCCTCCCACTCACACTGTCCCTGCCACCCCTCTGGGGCCCGTGGGTGGCCCATCTTTTTGGGTGCCATTTTCTGCCAGTGGGTGCCTGATGGATGTGACAAAAGCAGATTTGCTTCATTTCCCCAGGAATTCTTAGCAGTTCTTAGGACTTGGTTCCTGCAGATGTCAGGGGGGCCAGAGGAGGAGCTGTGGTGCTGCTTTATGGCTCTGATGCAGAAGGATAAACTGAGAACTGAGGTAGTAAAAATGATCATAACCAATAGCAATGCATCAGCTTTTAAGGAGAACGTGGAATAATGCAAACAATGAGTCACAATTCGTGAATTACAACTTTGCTTTTTCACAGTAATGAAGAAAATGGCATCTGTTGTTCTAAAAAGAATGGTTTTAAATGTCCTTTAGCCCCTGACTTTATTCCTTCTGTGTTCTAGTTCATGTTTCCTGTCAGTTGTGGTTTATTTCCCCCCTTTTTTATTATCCTTTTGCTCATAATAAATGGCTAATAGTCAGCTTGATTTGTTTTTCATACTCTTGTTTGTATGCATCTGTCCCCCCTTGCCCTTTAGCAACTGAGCTGTGCATCCAATTTTCATGTGAGTTGCTCCAACTCCTCTAGTTTTTGAGTTTCTGTTAATGACACCTGTCATCCCCAACCCATGGGTGAAATATTTAAATGTGTGTCCCTTCAGCCCTGGATGCAAATTGAAAATCCTACATTTCTCCAGCTGTTCGGGAGATTTATAATGCAGTGTGATCTCAAAACTCTCAGTGTTATGGAAGCAGTTCAGAGCTGCTCTGCCTTATTTCCCCCCATCATTCAGATAATTATTTTCCCTTATTTTATGTACATCTGACCCTTCTCAAGTTTTCTTTGTCCATCAGAAGTGAGGCCCTTCAGCAGTTCCTTGTGCTGGCAGAGGGTGTATTTACATGTCTGTGCATGGGGGAAGTGGGACTGAATGGAAGCTTCTGCTGGATCAGGAAAAGCAGCTTTACTGTGAACCAGACTCCCAGAGGAGCCCTTGGGAGTGCTTTTAGTTTGTTCATGCTATCACTGTTTATTGTTCTGCCTACTGAAATGTCTTTATTTTATCCTGTGTTCCCGTATCAGGAGCCCTCCCCTGATGGATATAATTTTGCACATGTTGAATGGGTATCTCCTTGCTTCCAAAGCTTACCTCAACTCTCACCTCAAAGAAACAGCAGAGCAGGACATCAGGCCATCCCAAAACAATGCAATGGGTCCAGAGGCCCCAGAAGTTACAAGAGAAGAATTAAAAAATGCTTTGCTAGCTGCTCAGGTAAGGGGGGAGAAATGGATATCAAGCCATGTGAGGAAAGACAGTGGTAAAACAGAAATAGGAAATTAAAAAGGGAGGCATTTGATTTCTTTTTTTTACCAAATTCTGTTACCATGGAAAACTGCCTCTGTATTCAGGTTGTTAAACATTTTCTTTTTCCCATATCCTGCTCTGAAGCACTGTGTTGGTTTTACTGCTCGGACAGTGGTTTTTCTGTTGGAACAGAAGGATTCTGCTTCCCAGCCCTTTTGCCTTCTTGCTTGTGTTATCCAGAGGCTCTTTCTGTCCTTGGGTTTGGAGAAGTGAAACATGAATAAATGTGACAAACTTCTGCCTGATCATCTGCCCAGTGTTATTGCAGAGCAGCAGCAGCACTGTGGAGTGGGAGGCTGGAGAATGCTTCACTTCCTGAGCTTCACCTCAGGGAGATTGTTGAGGAATCCTGTTCCACAGGCAGCCTGTTTATCCCTCTGGAAGAATGTCACATGTATAGTTCCCTGTCACATATATGGCTCCCATTATAATATGATTTTTGAGTTAATAGGAAGTTTTATATTTAAATGAGCAGTGTGGTCTCCCTTGAATTCTGTGAATTACATGGCCATGTGCTTATTTTGTCTGCTCTGGATGCTTTAAGGGCCCACTTGATATTTAATTTTTAAACAGCACAAGATTCCATTGAATTTACCCTTTTGATTAATGAATATGATTATCTGTTGGATTTGAGCTTTTTTTCTTGGGAGTCTTGATTGAGATAAAGGGTTGAGGTTTTTTTCTAATGTTCTACAAGATTTATGATTCTCGAGCTGAGCGTTTTTATTCTGTATTTAAAAATTCTACAGCCAGAAATCCTGCTCACCTGACAACCTTCTCTTTCTTAAATTGTCATTGCTCTGTGCTTGATTTTTCTTATTTCACTGGGGGGGTTTTCATGCTTGTTCTGTGGCTTATTTTCTCCCCAGGACAGCGCTGCTGTGCAGATCCTTCTGGAGATCTGCTTGCCCACCGAGGAGGAGAAGGGCCAGGGCAGCAGCTCGGATGATTTGCTGCTGGGTGCCCACAGTCCCATGGGTGCTGAGGCCGAGGAAGAGGAGGGTCTGCTGTGTAACCTGAGGGAGGTGCAGTGCCTCATCTGCTCCTTGCTGCACCAGATGTACATCGCTGACCCCAACCTCGTCAAACTCGTGCACTTCCAGGTCTGCCTCGCGCTGCTTCGCTTCTCTTGTTCTTCCTCAGGTCAGGGAAGAGCCAAGTGAAGTGGTCACAGTGCTGGATGCTGTCCTTGTGTTCCTCAGGAATGATAACGACCCACTTCTCTGCTCCTGTCCCACCAAATTTCTAAATTTCTATTACTTATATTTCCTCCCTGTTTCAGTGTTTGGACTCTGTTGTAGGGAGAAGGGAGCACGTAAACGGCCTGTTCCTCATCAATAAACATGTACTTTGTTTGTACCTCTGCCCTTTTTTATAGTTTGTCCGTCTAGGCCAAGGAAAACTGGCCTAATCATCTTCTAATTACTTGTTCCACATCTTTTTGTTCCGCATCTTTTGTGGGTTATTTCTCTGGCCATGTGTTTAAATCAGTGTTCCCATTATTCAAAACTAATTTGGCTTCCAATGTAAACATCTTATCTTTCCTTTTTGTTAGGGCACAGTTTGTCTCTGTGGAGTGGAAGGAGGAAGGTTGTCCCTGCCAAAGCAGCTGTGCACCTTCAAAAAAAAAAGAAAGAAGAGGAGAAAGATTAGCAATTTTTAAAATATAAATGTGTTTTTAATGCATGTTAAATTACTCCTTGCCAGATGGCACACTCTTTACAAGGAGTTAATTTGCCTTGACCTGGAATTGATTAAGTACTAAAAAAGTCATTATGGTGCAGTTGTGAAATGAGGAAATTGGGTCTGATGGTGAAGTTTGGAACATGGGAAAGACAAGGAAGGAAAGGGTCACTGCAGTCTGGTTGTGTCTGGGGAGCGGAGGGAGGGTTTCTGTGCAAATAATACACTGAGTGTTGAGGGCAAAGAACTGATCTGGCCCCTGGGTTTGTACCCAGCTTGTGACACATTGACACATCTCTTTCCTTAATCCCACAGGGCTATCCATGTGAACTGCTGGCACTGACAGTGGCAGGGATTCCATCCATGCACATCTGTCTGGATTTCATTCCAGAGCTCATTGCCCAGCCTGAACTTGAAAAACAGGTACTGTGCAGTCACCTGGCTTGGGAATCACTGTGGGTAGTTAATCCTGAGAAAACAGTCACTAAAAACATCCTGTTCTAACTTGCCTGGGCTATCCAAGTAACATTTGTAGCACTTTCACCTTAAATTAAAGGCCTGGCATTGTAGGTAATTGGAATTTGTTGGGCTAAAAATTCCTCTGTTTCTGTATAGAATCATGGAATGGTTTGTGTTGGAAGGGACCTTAAATATAATTTAATTCCAACCCCTCCTGCCATGGGCAGGGACACCTCCCACGAGGCCAGTTTGCCACATCAAGCCAACTTCATAGTTTATTTAATCCCTTCTCAGTACTAAGTTCCTGCTGATGGGAAGACACTCCACTAAGGTTAAAAGGAGAACACACCAGACCTAAACAGCTTTGACAAGGCTTGGGTTGGAAGTTGTTTGTTGCTTTGTTGCTCACCATTAATGTTGGAACAATCTGTGTCTGTAGGGGAGAATCTGAAACACTAACGCTGTCACTTTGATTAATGTTATATATGTGTGGGTTATTTTTCTTAATATTAGCAGGGAAAAAAATCACCATAACTATTATTAAGGCTTTTTCAGCTTTGATTTCTTGGTAAAACAGAGAATATTTACTAACTTGTAAGTTACGTGAAAGTGCAAGCAATTTGTAACTTTATTGCTTATTTCTCTTTTTGCCAGATATTTGCCATCCAGTTACTTTCCCACCTGTGTATCCAGTATGCACTGCCTAAATCCCTCAGTGTGGCTCGTTTAGCCATCAACGTGATGGGAACCCTGCTCACAGGTGAGCGCTCCAGCAGCCCCCAAATTCTTCCTTGTCCGAGTCAGGATGTTTTGTCTCAGCTGAATGCAGTTTTGTCTAAATGCCACTCTTGTGGCAATTAACATTGTAAATGTAACAACAGTTTTTGACAGGATTTTTATAACAATTTTGTTTTGCTTACCCGTGTCCTCCTCTGTGGCAGTTCTGACCCAGTCGAAGCGCTACGTGTTCTTTATGCCAACCCTGCCTTGTTTGGTGTCCTTCTGCCAAGCCTTTCCTCCCCTCTATGAGGATATTATGTCTCTGCTGATCCAAATAGGACAAGTTTGTGCCTCTGACGTTGCTACACAGACACGAGACTTTGACCCCATCATCACTCGTAAGTCAAGTGCCTTTATTTCATAAATAACATCGTGGTCCCAGGGGGAAACCTGTGGTAATGTTTCAAAAGTTTGAGCGTGCATGGGATTTACTGCTGTTCCCTTTTAAATACAGAAGGAGTAGGGACAGATGGCTTTACTGGACTGGTGAGAGAATTTAGAGGTTACAGGGGCTGAAAGTACTCATTTGTTAAACTTTTCCTTCTCTTTTATTTCCCTGCCTGTATCATTACAAGATGGATCCCTGCCTGCAAGTGTTGTGCAGAGAACTTGCCCTCGTAGGCTAAGGAGTAATGACATGAGAAGTGGCCACTGGTTTTTGGAACACAAGGGCATCTCAGCCCCTCAGCTGAGGCACAGTGGCCATGGAAATCTTCCTCATCTGTTGGAAATGCAAAGTCAAAGGAGCTGCCTGAAGTCTTAGACATGGTGTGGTTGGATAAACCCACAGTGATTGTATGAGCAAGGATTGGCTGTTTTACTTTCTCAGTTGATCTTGAGCAGGTTTTTGTCTTTTTTTTTTTTCTGTCTAAAGACAAATGCTCTGCTCATGTAATAAAAGGTCCCCTGCTGCTGTCTGTGCTGGGATATTCATCCTGAAAGAATTGAAAAGGAATAAAAAAAACCCCAAAGCAGTCAGACATAGGTAAATGACAAAGAAATACTGTATTATCTCTAGAAATGACCTGTGGAGTGAAGCCTGGTGAATAAAATACTGATGGCTGAGATTTGCAGTCTCATCACACGTACCTGTGTTAGGGGTGTAAAATAACAACTTTCAATACTTGCTTTATTTATTTAGATGCACTTTGCTGCTTCTACCTTATTTTCCAGGTCTCCAGCAACTAAAGGAGAAACCACATGATCTCTCAGGACTTTGTAAAGACTCCTCTACCAAAAGCTGGTCCAGAGACATGGCAAGCCTGGACCCCGACGTTCGGCTGTGCCAGTGTGTGGAAAACACCATCATCGAGATCATTAACATGAGTGTCAGTGGGGTTTAGGAACAGCTCAAGTTAGTTTGGAGCTTGTCCCACTGTCCACAGTGCCTAAATTTGGAGAAAGCTGTGAAAGTGCACTGAGGAGCTGGAGCAGAAATCCACGTTTTTGATCCATTTGATTCAGTTACGGCTGAGGAGAAAATTCTTTCCAGAGGCTCATGTTGCGTCCAGTGAAAACTTCTGAGGGTGATGGGATCAGGAAATAATTCCCAGTGGAACTGAGAGTGATTTTCAGGTGATACAGCAACACAGCTGAAAGGCTTTTAGGACATTGAAAAGTGAGTATTTAATGTGGTGAGCAAACAGCAAAATGATAGGTAAGAAAACTTGGAGATTCAAATGAGTTAAAAGAGCTGCTGTTCCAGAGCCTTGCAGAGCAAGATGGAATAAAGTACTTTGAGGAATACTTGAAAAAGTGGTGCCAATAACTTGCACCATCACACTGAATGCTTAGAAAATGTTTTGACTCTTTATCTGTGTGTCAAAGTATTGGTCAAAGTTTCAGTTTGTGAGATCAGGAGCTTCATTTAAAGATAACCAGCCTTCACTGAGAGTTTGAAACCGGTCTAAAAGTTGCTCTAAAAAAAAAAGGATTAATAGTAAAAATGTGCTTTTTAAAGAATGGGTATTTTTCATGCAACTCAGATGATTTTGGGTTTTTTAACTTAAAAAGTGATGAGAAAGACTTGAAGAAACGAGTGCAGATTTTTCTTAAGTTGTCACCAGGATAAGACTTAAAAAAGAAATTGGTGTTGAGATTGAGTGTGCAAAGGAATAAAAGAAGGAATGGCCAAACTAGTTCCAGGCACCTCAGAAAGCCAAATCCTTTGTGCTCCATCTTGGAGTTGGTTGTTCTTTTCCATACAAGGCCTGAGCCCATCGAGGGGATTTTTGTCATCATACTGTAAATTATGTAAATAATCTAAATGTATGTATTTTTTTCCCTCAGTTCCAAGTGTAATTTTATATGATGTAGTGGTATTTAAATAAAAAGCATTGACTTTACAAAAACTATTAATTTTTTATTTCCATACATTATTTTATTTCCCTACTTCCAACTGTATTTCCAGGGTGTTTTCTGTGCACTGCCCTTACAACAAGGATGATAATAATAATACTGAAAACAAGGATAATGACAATAATGGTAATAATACTCATAGTAATAAAACCTAGTAAGATAGTAATAATAATAATAATAGTGGCCAATAATACAACAAGAGCAATAATAATAATAATAGATGTAAAATATAATTATATATAATATAAAATAATGTAAAATATATAGTTACATATAATATAATGTAAAATGTATTATAATACAATATAAACAATAAAATACATTGTTATTATTTCTCAGTACGGTTTTCCCCCGCTAAACAGTCGGTTGCTTAGCAACGCGCGCAACCCGGAAGCCAACAAGGCGCGCTGCGATTGGCTCCCGGCACTCAGGGGAGGAAGGCGGGAGCAGCGCAGTGTGCGGCTCGCCGATTGGGGGCGCGCGGCCCTTTCCTGTCAGCTGATTGGCTGGGGCAGAGGCGGGAAGGACGGAGGGCGCTGAGGAGACTTCGGGGCCGCTGGTGGGGACCGTGAGGGGAGCGGGGTCGGAGCTGGGTACACACAAGAAAACAGCGCCCAGCTGCTGCTCTGGGGGCTGGGTTGAAGCGGCATCACTTCCTCAGGAGGCAGAGCCGCTCCGCCCGGGGCCGAGGCGGTGGCGAGGCTGCGCTCAGAGGCGGCCTCGGCGCGCCCAGAGCGCTCCCGGCCGAGCTGACACTCCACGGAGGGGGCTCTGTGGTGTCCCCGAGCTTCCCACCGCCTGACAGGCAAACTTAACTCGGAGTTATCCCTCATTGAGGAGCCCCCCCGAATGTGTGGGGGAAAAGCCTTTTCGTGGGGAGATGCTTCCATACACCCTTCCTAGGATGCAAACTCATGTCATCAATCTCCTTTTCTTAGGATTGCGTTTTCGTGTGGAGAATCAAGACGAGGAAGCTGAATCATGCCGTATATTGGTGGTTTTGGATACGTATGTTTAATTGAAGGTCAGATGAGGACACAGGTTAGTGAGTTGATTTATCACCTGGAATCTGCCACTTTAAACGTGCTCTATTACTCAAGGCTGAAAACCTAGAAGAAAAAAAAACCCTTGTGTTGTTTAAAAAATGTGATTTTTCTCTAAAGCCGTCTGTGCCTCTTCAGTATTTTTAGTTCACTAGTTTCAACTTTTTAGCACGATAGGGAAATTGTCTTTTATTATCCAGAGTGAGAGATATTCAAGGTAATAATCACAGAATAGTAAAGTGACTGCCACCCCATTTCCCCCCGAGTAATTACTGTGTTATTTGGGGAAGAAAAGTGTTCGGTTTTAAACATTTTTGAAGTCAGTGTCCAGTTTTATTTTTCATTGTTATAAGAGGGGTGGTACAAGCTACTGTTGACACTTGTGTCTTTGGAGTTTGCAGTGTCTTGGAGTTCAGGCTGATGGAGCTGCAGAATTGAAAGACTGGCTGATATTCAGTAACTAAAAATCCTAAAGTACTTTTTCCCTGTGGCTTTGAGTTTTTATCCCAACGATCTCCAGTCTGGCTGATGGAATCTGAACTGGTGTGTGCAGTTCATCGTGGTTTTATTTAAATTGCTGATGTTACTCACTAGCTGGTGGCAGGTTGTTCTTGTTTGGGATGAGGACCAAGTCAGAACTGCTGATGTGTGGTGTGAATTCCTGCATTTCAGTTCTGTTGTTGTCCTGAACTATTACCAGATTAACTGCTTCTCCATGTTTTTATTTGTTGTTATATATTGTTTCAGGCTTTATCTGGTTGTTACTATTGACTTGCTAATAGTATTTTTTTTAATTGCAGTTCTAAACCTGAAGTAAAGGGGAGGAAGAAGTGGCAATGCCTTCTGAGGGGGCAGAATACACCATTGGGGGGGTGAAGATCCTCTTCCCCTGCAAGGCTTACCCCTCCCAGCTGGCTATGATGAATGCTGTGAGTACAGTTTACACTGGCATTTCCTAAACTAAGAGTGTTTACCACTATTTGGAATTCCAGTTTCTCTATCAGAACTTAAAAAAACTGGAATATTAAATTCAGAGCCTCCAGTGTCTTGAGAATTTCAGTTGTAACAACTGACTGTTCTCTGTGCTGGACAGTATCTGGAGCATGCCTAGGGAATGCTGAGGTACATTTTGGATTTATGAGCATTTATGCTAAGAAAGAAGTTGTGTGTTGTGTAATATATATGGTTATTTATCTAGATATGCTATTAGAGAAGATGTATATAACTTTGAGGAACAATGATTTAATAAAACATCTGTCTCTTAAACAGAATAATGAAATAGAGTAATATTTCAATAAGTTTTCACTTTTTTGGATTTTTTAAAAATGAATTGTTGCACTTACATGTAAACATTTTTAAGGAGTTTTAACCATTTCAAAATGTTTTTTTTTCTCTGTGGGACAAATGGTTTGGTTGTTATTATTATTATTAAAGGTGATTGTGGGGGTTGGTTTTCTACTTGTCACAGGACAGCAGGTGTCCTGACCTATTTTTAGAAGTTATTTCTAAGATAAGCTAAAGACACCTGCTTTGCTTTCTCTTAATTCTGGTTTTGCTCTTGTTGTTCTCCTTAAAGATTGTGAAAGGTTTAAATACCAGGCAGCACTGTTTGCTGGAGAGCCCTACAGGGAGTGGGAAAAGCTTGGCATTACTTTGCTCTGCATTATCATGGCAGCAGTCTCTGCATGGTGAGTTTGTCTCAGTGGCTGTTTGCACAATTTTTGATACCAAAACAATGAGTTGCTACTGTTTATCAGCCTTTAATTTAATTGATCAGCCTTGGAGTTCAGGTCTTTGCCCACCATTACACATCTCACCTTACTGGCAGCACAAAGCAGGGATGGCCAGTAGTGCTGAGGGGGATTTAGGTCTCATAGGGGAATTATTTGGCTGCTGGAATTTTGGAGGAAAATCCTTGTGGGTTGCAGTGATGTGGATGAAGGAGAGAGGAGGTTTGGATTCCTGCAGGGGGTTACAGCCTGAAGAACTGCAGTTCTTCAGAGGGTGGTGGGAACTTGGGCAGCTTTGTAGAGACACCAGGTTTACCACTGGTACCTGAGCTTTCACCTGCACTGTTCTGCAAGTCTGGTTGTCCTGTAGAGCCCTGAGTGGTTTTAATGAGAGCCAAAGCCTGTGTCTGTCCCCCAGAGAAATCCCTGCTGAGCTGCTCCGGGGAGAAGGAGGACAGGAAGGCAGAGACGTCCCCCCTGTGCCACTGCACCTGTCATTCCCAGGCCAGGAGCAACGAGGCTGCAACAAGTGTCAATCCTGGGGCTTCCTGTCCTTCCAATCACTGTGAAATGGGAACTTCCATGAAACCTGGAAGCCCCCTGCCAAACACAGGTAACTTCATGCACAGGCAGCTAAAAATCTGTTCTGGACATACAATTTGTAGCCTGAGTTGTCAGGTTTTTTTCCTTTCTAGCCAGGGGTGGTTTTTTGCCTTCATAATAGAGTACTACATATTTCTGCCCTGCCTGAAATCTGTGTGGTGATTAATGGCTCTGGAAATGTCCAATACAGTTACCTACATCAGGTGTATTTAAAGTAAAATCTGGTTTTTAATTGCTGCCCTTATGTAATGCCTTCCTTTTTTCTTTGATGAATTACAGAATGTAAGGAAAATGAAACTCTGGCTTCGAAATTGGCTGCCAAAAAGAAGTTATCTCTCCATGACAGTGAGAATGATGATTTTCAAGTGGACAGGAAAAGGATTCGTCCTTTAGAAACAGAGCAGCAGGTGAACAAAGTTTATTGGCTGTAAAATAATCCAGGTGGAGCTAAACCAAGCTATTAAATACCAATGAGTGCTACAGAGAAGGGTGTGGACAATAATTGAGTCATGTCACAGTTCAGATTGACAGGTTTCTGTTCGTTTTTATTGTTACTCATTACAAAAGAGTCCACTGTTGCATTTAAACGTTCATAATACCCTGTCTTAAACTATATCCTGCCTATTTAAACAAGTAATATCCCCAAAATATATTCATCCCCAGCTGATCTGTGATATTAAGCCAAAGTATTACATTCTAGAGTTGAAAGTGCTCTTGGAAATGAGTGTTAGAAATTCAAATAATACAGAGTTCTGGTTTCTAGCCTGTCAGATGTTGGTATCTCTGTGTGGAGTGCAATATTTCTGTTATGTTTTCATCTGTGTCACTGTTGGTATCACATGGCTGAGGACTTGTGCACTTAAACAGCTTTTACATTGCTGCAGAGCACTTTTGATTAAGTTTTTACATCAGTATGGCTTGAATTTATATTTTGGTTTTGTTGTGGAAGTTTTCTGCTTTTTTCTTCATAGTGCTGTAATTTCTCTCAGTTTTGTAACAGTGAGAAAATAAAGCAGAAGAGCTCAGCAATAATTACAGATTTTTTTGTAATTAAAACTTGAGAGCTTTCCCTAATGACTTTTGTGTGGCTCAGTTTGGTTGAGCTGTTAACAAACATTAAGGGTGCACAGTGTCACTAAAACAGCCTCAGTGGAAAAGAGCTGAACCAAAGCCCTGCCAGAGGGAGCACATCCTCCTGCCCAGGGCATTTATACACTGATTTTTTTCCCCAGCAGGTCAGAAAACGCCACTGTTTGGCCAGAGGAGTCCAGTTGGTTGATGCTTTAGAAGTTTATCACCAGAGGAAAAATGGAGAGCTCACTGTTCACTCTGAAAAAAGTGTGAAAACCTCTACTTGTTCTCCCCAAAGGGTAAGTAATGCAACAGTATCTTTTACAGCAGGAGGGGGAGTTCAGGAGCAATTAAAAACAATATTTGATGGCTCCCCAACAGCACCAAATGTGGCCCAGCAATTCAGCCTGTCAGTGTGTGACAGCAGTTGTACAGCAGCTTTGAATTTATATTTTATATTCCAGCCTCTATTAGATTGGTGACATTATGGAAGAAATTGCAACTGGGACTGTGGAAATTAGGTGAAATCAGGATTTGTAGGTTTTGTTGGGTT